TCATTTTAGGGTGCTGATTTGAAAAATAGTGCCTTTTTGTTTTAGCACGTAACACTTTCTTACAAAATATGTGCATTTCGTAGCATTTTTGCTTTCAACAACCTTTTGTAAGTTGAAGAAGTTGTATTATCTCTTAATCAGCAGAACTACTGCCACAAAGGCATGATTCCTGTTTCTCAGAGCCAGGTTAGCTACATCTATTTGTTCCATTCTCATCTGATTTTGACATGAATGATTCTGAAAACATTTATGCCTAATCTTGAATTATGGCTAATGACTGTTACCCAGATGTTTTTGGTTACATCTGTGGGTGTTTTACTACTTCTAAATAGTGAGTGAACTTGAGTTTCTGGAAAATTCTTTGACATTTAAAGAAATATTTAAACTTTTTTTTTCATTCGTTTGCTTTAAATGATACCTTCCTAATACTATTATTGTCAGTAAAAAACATTTGACATTGGACTGTATTTATTTTGCTAAGTGCATTAAAGCTGATATATCATTCTTATTTTGTGAAAAATATACGGTTTTATGAAATTTTAACTCAGCATCATTAAATTAAGTGATATTAGTCCTTTTTTGCAAATCAGCAGACTTTTTTTCAAGATGCAGGGCTGTGCAATTTATAATAAATTAAGAAGGAGTCTCCTTTTCTCTCTGAACTAATACATAATATTGTGGAAGTTGGTCTTCTGTAAACTTGTGTTTATGTCTAAATCTCGGCCTATTTGTCAGTCCGATAAGATGCTGTCAGTGTGTGTAGTGATGTATACCTTGGCTGCTACAGACGAGCCTGGTTTCTCTAGTAGGTCCCACAGTTTCTTCCTTTTCTCTGAACAACATGTATTATCGAATTCTTCGCCGTCCCGGACCTTCAGAGTATCAGCTTCCCGTTTGAGCTCCTCGTTCATCTGCTCTTTCTTTTGATGGTACCGTGCCTGGCAACACGACTCCAGGTAGATCTCATCCACCCCCCAGTAGTCCAGCTCCTGGCTGAAGGACAGGGCGCACATTTCCTCCATCATGTGCAACTTCCCTGTGCGGTAGAAGTTCAGAATAGACGTGAACGCCCCGGGGTGCCGGTCAAAAAAGTACTCGTTGTCCTCTAGGTTGTAGTCGTCGCATATGTCCACGAGTGATTCGTGGGTTTTGCAGTCTCGTAACTTGCCCAAACGCGTGCGCGGCAGTCGGTCCAGGGTTCTCCACAGGACCTCGTGCGGCAGACCCCCTACGTTCAGTTTGACACGCCGGTAGCACGACATACTCCGGATTATATCCACAGGCTCCGGGGGCAGAGAGGCTGTGGAGCGAGAGCCAACTTTACTCATTCCTGCGGAGGGTTTATCCATTTTGTTTTTTTGTGCAGACTACCCTATGAATTTGGCGGTGTTACCAGTGGTTCTCCGAGCTGTCTCATTTTATTTGAGCTGCTGAAGAGGAAAGGAGAAACAAGAAATGAGCTGCATGTTTTATGATGTTTGTTAAAGGGATAGTTCATCCAAAAATGAAAATTTGATGGTGACTTTGTTTCTTCAGTAGAACACAAATTATGATTTTTAAATCCAACCGTTGCAGTCTATCAGTCGTATAATGC